TTTGTGGCCTTAGCCAAAAATAAATAGCAGTTTTGTGTTATATTGCACAGAGTGTATTTTAAAAGCTTTATAGAGATGTTTTAAGACATGTTATGAATCATTATGATATATTTGCTAGCCAAACTAGAGAAGAACGCCCTCGTAGCAACCGAGCTAAAAAATCTTTTCTTTAAGCTTTTCTGTGAAGAGTGAAAGTGAGCGTGAAAGAGATTTTACTACCTTTTCTGTTAATGCATTTTATTGTGTTTATATACATTTGATACCCAGTGATTGTATTGGAAGCTTTAGTGCATGAAGAAGTTAGTAGTAAAACTTTAAGATGTTTACATAATGCCAAATATCAATGCACTGCTAATCAATAAGACGACTACTGAATATAATAGCAGTATCTCTGAATGAACTGTATGTTACACTGTGAGGCTCCACACCTCACGCTTTCATAGCCCCCTTTGTTTCCTTCGTTAAGCGCCCTGTGTGGGTGTGTTTCCATGTTGTGTTACGCCAAGTTCTCGTTAACTTAACCGTCAACTTACTTGCTGAGTAAATGTCAGGAGTCGGAGGTGGTTTTATTTGCATACTTTGCATCAGATTTCAGAGTTTTCTCGTCTTCTTTCCCATCAATACGATTGTTTCTCTGCAGAAATATGCTCATTCATGTGCAGATTTTGAGGAAAGTCGAAGAGAAAAAGTCACATCTGACGTGCACCTTGTGAATATAATTACCGTTCGTGCCCTGCAAACTCGCTGTCCCGCAGCACGAGTCGCTCCTGCTCGGGACGTCCTGCTGCAGACCTTCTTATGAAAGAAAAAGAAACACACAATAAACACAACATGTGAAGTTTGTCGGCCTCCAGCTGTTTGATTTCACTTTGTGCCGTCTGAAGGTTTTGAAGTGCAGCAGTGCAAACACCCAGGTGGAGATGACAGAACGTGGCTCCAGGACAAACTGTGGGAAACTCCTCATTTCTCCCCACACGCTCACTCAACGCCGCAGTGAACAAACTTTTGTCGCTGAGACACACTAAAACACATTATATGAGAGAGGATGGCCTTCTTTTTCCAGAGAGAAGGGAGGCGGATGAAACCATGTCAGACCCCCTCGGGGCAGACTTTGCATTGTGTAATCCAAGCCTGTGCACCCCACCCAACCTGATCCTTTTTAAACACACTCACAAAAACACACTGCGCAAACCAGCATAGCAACACCGACATTATCCACACGACAGGACTCTAAATACCTCTCATTTTCTAATTAACTTTTAGTACTTTGTTGGCAGAGTTACTGGGGAAAAGTACTGTGTAAGAAATATATACATTATATTAATATAAAGCTATTTTTTTGCAGTAAGACTGTAATTTTTACATTTAAACATAGTTAAAGAATAAATAAAAATTTGTGACAATAGTGATTTTTTAAATGGATGTTTATAATTTAGGTCTGGTTTTCAGGGTTAATGTGCAAATTGATACTTCTTTTTCTGTGGTTTTACAAGACATTATTTATACTTTAACAAAACAGGGAAAATCTGTAAAATACAAGTTAAAACCTTCATATTTTTTATGACACATTCAGGTCTTTAAGTATTTGGACAAATTTTACTATTTGTAATTCGGCAAAACAGGAGATATCTGTATGAAAAAAGCTAAAAACCAGTTAAAAATGTTTTATTTGTTGTTATTTTTTAAGTGTGCACTCACTCCACAAAAAGTTACAAATTCAAGTTAAAACCTATTAAAAACCGAAATATTTTACAGTGTACACTCAGATTCATAAGTATTTGGACGGTGACACAGTTTTTGTAGTTTTGCGTCTGTACTCCACAATTTAAAATTAAGGAATTAAGATGAGTTTAAAAAGCAAACTTTCAGCTTTAATTCAAGGGATTTCACACAAATATTGCATTTATTGCATTTACCGTTTAGGATTACAGATGTTTTTTTTCACATAATTTCCCCCCCTCCTCCTTTTTTTTTAAAAAACAGACTCAAAAGTATTGTAGGTTCATCACACTTAATCAAGTATTTACTGAGTTTTTTGTTTGTTTTCTCTCTTTGACAAAGTGTTTAAAAGTTTTACAATCCAAAACATCTCAAAGAATCCTTTCTCCAAAAAGTATGGATCAGCTTGTTTTAGTCAAAAACATTGTACAAATTGATGATATTGCGACATGAATCAATTTTTACACAATTATACATGATGGTATCTGTGTTCTACACACATTTCTCAACATATCTGTAAAACTGATGTTTGAAAAATGGATAATCTTCACATTTTATAGTCCAGGACTGAATAGTTGTGTGAAAATAACAAGTAGATACCACGGACAGGTTAAAGTTTTCACATTTCTTCCTGCAAATAGCATTTGTTTATATGACTCCTCTGTAAAATCAGTGTGAAATAAAAGAGTCAGTTCATGCAAATTACACCAAAAAATAAATAAATAAAAATCTGATTTCTTACCTGTCAGGTTTTGCATCACAGATAGTTTTATGAAAACAAAACCTGAGCAAAATCTGTGGAATGTTGCAGCTCATAGTCAGAATCCTTCACGCAGCTCAGTACCCAACCGTCAAGTGTTTTAGATGAACTTGTCCTGGAAGGAAATGTGTTTCTAATGAGCTCTGTGGATTAACCAGAGGCTCTGCATGACCGGGCAGTGGACCGATGAGCAGCTTCATGTCCAGGTGTGGCCCGTTTCCTCGTTAATTCAGGACAAACTGAGCCGATCAAAGGTCCGGAGTCGATTCCAAGTGTTGAACTTTGCATTTGGTGGCTGTTTATAGAAACTCTTAAAACTACGATTAGCACACGATTATTAGCTCGAGTTCAGGAATTACAGTTAATCTAATATAATCCACGACATATTTGGGATTTCTAATTATCAGAAAAAGGGGAAGGGTTTGTTCTTTCTCCCGAAAAGTAGATTAGTTGTTTGTTTGTGGGAGAGCAGGAGACGGTCTTTAATGTTTCCAAGACTCAGATTATATTTTATTTCATCGTTTCCTTGTGAGATTTACTTTAAAAGAAGAAACAAAACATCAAAATACTTGTTTCAATGGCAAAAGTGTGAAAATAGTTATGTCTCTGTGGTACGGCCTTACTTGTAGTTAATGATAGGACTTTATATTAATTGAACATCATCAGTTGTCTTTGCTCATTACAACAGAAGTGTGGTGAAGATAAAAGTACCATGAAGTGTAAAACGTTGACATAATGTGCAGCTGCCAGTTCATTTATTAAGTTTACTTCATTTTGTGGAGGATGATGTGATTTCTCTAATACTTTCCATACAGTGAACATATACATAGTTATGCCAAAGATTGATTTAAAGTAAATTATCGTTTGCTTTTTTTTTCTAGCTAGAAACAACAAAAACAAATGACTAAAGACCGACATTGTGAATTTGACATATTTCTGTATTTTTCTTACATTTTCACAAAAAATGCAATTTGCAAAATGATTCATTCTCTCTTGATAATCAGAATGAAATCCTTTATTTTCCTCCACATCTGTCCAACAGTTGTTCCAGTGTCTGTCTGCATGTCTCCACTGGGATGTTGTTCCTCCAGGTGTCCAACGTTGGCATTTTTAGTTAAAACACAAAACTGTCTCATTAACTCTTATCTCCATGATATCTTACAGTGTTTTGTCATTTATTTATGTCATTTCCAGCCAGAATAAACCGAGTGGTTAAATAAAAATTCACTACAAATCAAAATTTAGCATGAGGATGAATAATTTTGTGTTTAACTGTGTGTTCATATGTAAGGATCTAAAGCAGGATGATGCAATGTGCTTGAGGTGCAAACATTAGCAGCACATTCCTTCATTCACAGCTGCTCTGCTGCATGTCGCCTTCAAGATGAATTATCAAAGTGGCTCACTGAACAACAGAGGAGCAATTAGGAGGCTGACTCATTGTGCTGCACCTGATAGGTGCAGTGGCAGATAAATCGGTAATGTCCTTTATAACAACATTCCCTCAGTGGGAGGGTAGAGCTGCATACAAACTGAACAAACAGGCGTCAGGGCGAGGCCGATCCACATTCCCCCGTCAGAGACCAGAGATGCTGCTGTTGTCAAACTGATGGTGTGGCCTTTATTAAGATCCAGCCGAGGGCAGGAACAACTCAATCAACACGTACAGAACAATGGCAGGTCTGCCTCAGATGTGAAAGTGACAAACAAAGGCTGAAATAAAGTTGTCGAGCAGCAGGATTACGCTTACTAATGCCTTACTTTCAAGAGCATGATTTCTGAGAACTGATTTGCTCTCGACCTGCGATGAAAACTGCATGTAGAAAAATAGCTAATCTGTTCCTCATGACAACCTGTAACTCAGGATCAGCATCCGACTGTAGATTTGTCTCCGTCTAGTGGGCAGCCTGAGACTGCAGCTGCACAGTTTCTCCAGTGTCTTTTATATACTCACGTCTGGTTTCACTTTCAATTCACTCTGTTCAAGAATTTTGATTTTTTTTTTAAAACACAGACGCTGCGAGTGTTTCAGCATGTAAAAATGGAAATCTTCACATAATAAATACAGTACGGAAGTAAGCATTTACAACGCCTGCTCTCGATGTCTATTTACATTTTGAACAAACTGATTTAAAGTGACTTCAACAGCACTTCTTTGTGCGGAGCTTCAACAGTCGTCGTCTGAAACACAGTTTAGGCATCAACACGGACACAGTGATGATGGAATCACATAGAAACCTAACCCCAAAGCAAATCAGATAATCATTTAGATAAACATATTGATCATGCAGGCAGCACCAGTCACAGCTTAGCATGTCTGAAATGCATGTGAGTGATTCTATTTGGCTTTTTATACAGTTGAATATAAAGAACCATCCTTCTAAAATAACAGTTAAGCAAATATAACAATTGGCTTTATGCAAATATATATTTATAAGTGCTAAATGTGTGATGCAGATATACAGATGTTGATTTGGGGCGTCTGTTCAGCTTGATGATGACGATGTCAAAGGTCAAAGTCTCAGAGCTCCGTCATCAGAAGGGCTCTCAGGATCTTCTCTCTGTCCAACCTTATCTCTTCTCCGCTACAGACGCATGCAAACATACAAGGTTCATGTTATACTGAGATTAAACGAACTGAATTTCATTTTAACTTCTGCATAAAACCATTTTTAGCAACAATAATTAATTAATTAATTTTTTTTTTTTTTTTTTTTAAAGCGTAAACTCTGCATTATAAAAGGAGAGAGTAGCTATAACTGACATTGTGATAACCTAAAATAAATAATTCAAAAACCTTTTTTGTATGCTTTTTAGGCTGTTTTTAAATCACAGATTTTACATAAAACTTTCAAGAGATTATTTAAATATTGCACTTTAATTTGACAAATGAGCTTGGTTACATAGTCTAACTAAAACATTCATGTAAATTTAAATGTAGCTTAACCAGGACAAATCTAGTGAATTTCACTGGGGTTACTGCTACTCTGCTAAGCTATGCTAATTTTAGCATGACCTCCCTGTGACTAAGCTAGTATTACTTTTTTTTTTTTTTTTAATGTTGCCTTTATGATTAGATTTTGCTACTGTCTGAGGTATGAAATATCACAAATTTATTTTTAAAAATGTTAGATGATTGAAACTGATGGGCAAGTCACAGAAAAAAGGAAAAAGCAGCCACAGCTAGCTGCAATTAGCCAAAGAGTTGAGTGCACCATAGACACAATTAGCAACAGCACTGTAGCCATACATAGCTGTAATTAGCCTAAGAGCTAAGAGCATTGTAGCCACACCTAGCCACCGCTAGCCACAATTAGTTAAAGTGTTAGTGGACTGCCACACCTAGCCACAATTAACTAAAACACTCAATGCACCGTAGCCACAGGTAGCTGCAATTGGCTGAAGTGCGAAGTGCACTGTAGCTACCGCTAGCCACAGTAACTGACGTGTAAAGTGGATTGTAGGCACAGCTAGCTGCAATTAGTAGAAGAGCTAAGTGCACTTCAGACATAGCTATCCACAGCACTGTAGCCAGAGCTTGCCTCAATTAGCTGAAGAGCTAAGTGCAATGTAGACACAATTAGCCACAACACTGTAGCTACAGCTAGCCAAAATTAGCTGAAGTACTCGCCACAGCTAGCTGCAATAAACTGACATGCTGTGTGCTATTAGGAGAGCAAATTCTTGGGACAGCTAGCCACAAATAAGTAGAGTACTACGTGTGCTTTAGCCACAGCTCGCCACAATTAGCTGAAGTGCTACATTTTTATTTTCTAGTTCTAATAAATATAAGGTGTCTTCTTTCAATTATTCTGCTTTTCTGTGGCTAAATATTTTCACATGGTTGAACAGGATTGTATCTCTATGTGTAAAGCTGCTGACAACAATGTGAATTTCTCCACGGTGAGATAAATAAAGGCATATCTCATCTCATCTTATCTTATCTTATCTCATTATTGTCTTTATTCTGACCCAAAAAAAATAGTTTTGGCCTGATGCAGAGCTGTCGAATGCTAGGAAAGCTAAAACATTAACCAGTTAGGATGAAATTAACTTGAAATTAAACTGAAATTAAACCATCTGAGAGGTTTTGGAACCACAGATTTAATCTTTTTACAATGCATTTTATTTTATTAAGTGTTTGCATGTGTGTTCAACAGCTGTTAAATTAATTAGTGAAGCAAAAAAAAAAATAAAACATTTTAGTTTAAAAGCTGAAGCGTAAAGTAGCATACAAGTAAAGTGCCTTAAAAATGTTACTTAAGCACGTATTCACATTTATACTACATGTCAGTATAAATGTGCTCCAGAGAGCAGAGTGCAGGTGTGTTACCTGTCGTTATGGGCAGCAAGGTAAGGGGCCAGGTGAGGGATGGAGCTACGGTAGTAAGAAGGGGAGAGGTGAGGGGAAGGCGAAGGAGAGGGACAGCAAGGACTACCCAGCTCCAGTGCTGGCATATTATCCACCTGGAATACACATCAGTGTATACAAACACACAGACATGCCTGTGTTTACTTGCAGATGATGCAGGGAGGCTGAATTAAATCAATAAATCACCCCGTAAGTAGTGCACTGACAAACATGCATTCTGAGGTGTTTTCCGGGTGTGTGTTACCTGTGGGTATATAGATGGCTGAATCTGTTTGTCCAACGAGCTGGTGGACCCTGACTTGGCTGTGCTCTGCGAGGAGATGGCTGCAAGTGCTTCAGGGAGATTATCTTCATCCTCATGGTTGCTAATGATCAACAAATTGAGAGACTGAATGACTTGATATGTTCTGAACAAGCCGTTACCATCACACAGCAGCGATAGCAGAGCGTTCGCTTCAAGTGCTCCGTGGAGTATTCATTTCAGGAGGACAATTTCCCACTCATCAGCGGCCCGAGAGCTCGCTACCAACGCTGCCCGTCAGCTGTAATCACAGGTGACGTGTACTCACAAGCTGAACTGTCGGACCAGTCGTTTCCTGCGGTTGGTGCTCACGTTGGCTTTGGGCTGCAGCCTCTCCGGCGTTGGGTTGCGGTCCTGCCGATGGGGCGTCTTATCAGCAGTCAGACTGGATGCAGCTGAATCTTGGGACGAACTCTGATACCTGAAGACACAGGAGAGTCAGTTACACAGTATACAACCGATGTTAGCACAGCCCTGTGTAATATCACCAAAAGGTAAAATGATTCTAAACTGCGTCACTTCTGAGTCGAACAGTGAAGTATTTTGTCCTATGAACAATCAAAACCAAATACTTTAGAAAGGCTGTACTAAAAAAAACAGGCCCAAAAGTAGAAATTCCAACAAAAGTGAATTGGTCTTTGATTTCCAATCAGCATAACCGTGTGAACATTGTTATAAATGAGCTGGAAGGTCCAGCACTTTCTCAGTTTTTGACCTATGAGCTGCATCTATCTGCATGTCTGCATCATGGCTCCGCATGTAAAAGCATTTCCAGACGAACTGAAGAATGTGATTGCGAGACTTTGCAAAGATGGAAAAGGATGCAGGAAGATCAACTAAAAATGAGACACAGTTGTAGCAGCAATAAGGCGGCATAGAAGGAACCATAGTAGCACTGATCAGGGCTGCAGTAGTTGTCCTGCTAAAATGACTCCACAGACAGTGAACTACTTTCACAATGTAGCTGTGAAAACCAGACAACAGCTGCTTTAGACATGGCACAGGGGTTATCAATGGAAATCTGAATTTTGTGAAGGTCAGACAGTGTGAAGAAGAGTTCATACATTCAAAAGAGGCAAAAACGTTTACATAAATCAGTTTTAGTCAAGAAAGAAAACGAAGACAATATTTGAGAGAATTAAATATTCAACCTGAGCCAGAAAACAGAAGAAACATTACCTACAAAGAAAAACTGGTGAATTAGAATAGAAAGAAGTGAAAGGAAGCAATACAGTTATGGTAAACTGGATGCCAGCAGATAAACCCAATGTGATAAAGGCTTTATGGACGGATGCCCAAAAATTTACTCTTGCTTCCTCTTTGGCACAAAATTGCAACACCAAACCGCTAAAGAATATGAAAAGAAGCATTCGTAGCATGTGCTTTGGTTCGATGACACCAAGATAAATGTGTTGGGCTCAGATGGAGTCCAGATGTTTGGTGTGAACCTGACCAGGACCACCACAGTGGATGCATCGTCCTGACAGTGAAGCACGGAGGTGGCAGCATCATGATATGAGGCTACATGAGTGTAAAAGTTGTTGATGACATTTATAGATGAATGTCTGAGGATAAACCAGAACACTGTCTGACTAGATGACTCCCAGTCTGCAGAAACTGAAAGAAGAGGAATGTTCCAGCAGGAGAACCATCCAAAGAACAAAATCACACAAGAGTTTCTACAGAAGTAAAACTACAACCTAAACAATTATGAATTGAGTTCAGTGGATCACCTTCAGGGTATTTTAAAGAGAAACGTAGAGCAACACAACCCCTGAATAGTCTGTGATGGATGGCACAACATCTCTCCAGGATCTTGGTATCCTCCATGCTGAGGGTTGCACTTAGTTCTGTTGTGTTTTGTAATATGCATAAAAATGAAGTACTGGCCTGTCATTGAGGGTCTCGTTTGAGTTCTTCCCTCTGGGCGTTGTTGGAGCTTCCTTCTTCATTGCAGAGAAAAATGGTGGTTAGTTACAAGTAAACAACATGGAGGTCAAATGGCGTGAGGGGACGGAGGCTCGGCACTGACCCTGAACGCTGCCTCCATCTGGGCCTTGAGGATGTTACATTTGAGGTGATCGGGGAGCATTGCTGGAGAAGCAGGAGGGTGCAGAGACTTTTCCGACAGCTGCTTCTCCTCTCCCTGCCAGATAACAAGTCGAAAGGTGAGGAGAGAGAGAAAAAAAAAAAATCTCAGCTAGCGTACAGGACGAGATAAGAAGATGTGGGGAAACGTGTCCGACCTTGTTGTCGATGTTGACGTGCAGCGAAGGCCAAGGAGGAGAATCGCTGTCTGACTCCAGAGCTTTGAGCAGAGACTGAGAGATCTCCATCTCATCGGCGGGGCAGTGAGGAGCTCGACGTTCTTAAAGAGAACAAAATCAAAGAAATAGAAATAAATGTACAATTTACACCTCTAATACAATGTCTTGTTTGAGTCATTTTTTCAGCCCAAGGAAAACTACTAGTTGAATAAAAATAATCAAAAACTGGAATTTGGGATGAGTACATTTGGGTTTTTAGCTCCGCATTTGAATCAACATTCACCTTTCTGGACAACACAGGGCTTGATGTGGCTTTGGAAAATGAATGTCCAAATAGTTAGTTCTGTTAATGCCTTACATGGGATTAGACAAACATTTTAGCTCCACATTTATGTTTGTAGATTCTTCAGAACGTACATGGAACCAATAAAGAACTGCAGAGCAACAAATAGAATATGCGGAAACTTTCTTTGAAGCCCCACTACAATGGAAGGCTCAGTGCAAAAACTTTCTTTAAAAATAGTCAATTATCACATTCAAAAGCAGCAACATGTTTCCTTTGAACAATTTCCTTGCATGTCTTTGCACACAGCATTAAATCTTTTTGGGAATTTCCCCCAAAAAAGCAGATCAAATGTTCAAACTAATACCACAAATGCATGTTTTTAGTTCTACTGCCTCACAAAAGAATAAAGAGACACCAACTGGTACCTACAGGAGGCTATTTTTGCTGTTAGTTCTGAGTTTTTAAATATCTCTTTAGTGTTTAGGTTGAACTGCATTCATCTCAAATGTGCTGCAGTGGAAACATTGGACTGAAACCCTCAGCATCTTTTTGTGTTTCAGTATGTGGGTGAACTGAAAAATCCCATGTTGCTGACAAACGCGCAGCACCGAGCGTGAAAAAGAGCATCAGTGTGTAGAGGAGACACATGGCAGATACTCTGACAGTACTCACTGTTCTTGGTGTGTGTGTGGCAGAGCGTGTCCTGGCTGTGTGTGTGGCGGCGGTGGCGGTGGTGCATCTTGCCAGAATACGAATTCTCGTTCTCTTCGACACTGAACTGGTGGTCTGAAGCAGGACCGCTCAGCGGGAAACTGAAGACGACACATGCAGTCAAACAACCCCCCAATAAACCCCCCCAAAAAAGCCACTTAAATATTACAAATGAATCGTTATCACTGTGAACTTTTGAAGTGTACTTATTTAAAAAAGCCTTTGAACGTGCAACTGAGCCCAAAATGATTCAGCCTCATGCCAAAAGTTGATCTATAGAAACTGTTTACTTGACCCATATGTTACTTTTGCCTAAAATTCACACAACAAAATGACAATAGACAGTAAGATAACGTGTTAGAGATGAGATTCTGAATGGATCCAACATTGTTTCCTCTTCACCGTTTCTTCACCACTTTGGCTGCATGTTTCACATCATCGTCTTGTTGAAGCTCCAAAGCTGCCCAAGGAGCAGTGTTCCTGCAGACCTCCTGATGTTCTCCTCTGTTCTCATGATGCTGTTTCCTCTGACCAGGCTGTCTGGTCCGTCGGCTCAACAACAGCCCCAAAGCATCACGTTCCACCACCATGTTGGACCGTGGGGATGCTGCTCTTGGCCTTGAATGCTTCTCCTTTCTCTGTGTCCAAACATCTCCATGTTCATGAAGTGATGAGCAGCAGCTTTTTTCTTTGTCCTGGAGAAGTGGATCCTCCTTGTCTCCATGGAGACCAGCCTTGTTGTTGGTCTGCTGGAGTGTCTGATGGACATGTTGCTACCAGAACTGCTCACATTGATCAGGATGCTCTTGGTGCTGGTCCTTGGGTTCTTCTGGGCCTCCACCATTCTTCCAGTGCAGGGCTCAAGTCTGTCCTCCTGCAGCCCTTTGACATGTTCCACAGTGAGACTTCTTCATGGAGCTTCAAACTGTGAACACTGGACCTTGAAAACACTTGATATGACTTTATAGCCTTTAAACATCTTGTGAGCAGCAACAATACACAACACAGCTCCTCAATCAGCTCCTTGGTTTTGTCCTTGACTTGTACCTGACTAGGGAACTACTGCATCAGCTGTTCTCAGTTCAGAGTGTATTTGAACGTTGCAGAGAAAAATGGAAATCACCAGGAACATCTGGAATGGTGTAGAAGCTGCACTTTCTCAAAAAGTGGCAACTATTTTAAGTCTTATCATTAATTTTCAACATTAGATTTTGAGTAAAAATGCAAAACAAAAAACCAAAAACTCAACGAAATAGTTGAAATGTCTCATTAACATCTCTAACACATTGTCTGACTGTCTTGTGTCACTTTTTTATGTAATTTCCAGCCAGAAGAAACCTACTGGAAAAAAGAAAAATTCACTCTGGCATGTCTATGAATGATTTGAGGCTCGACTGTAGAAGAAAATACGTGACTGTCACAAATAAGCTTCGGTTATAAAACAATGAAGGACAGATGTTTGCAGTTTTTGCATTTTCAACTCATAAACAGTTTATTCAGTTTAGAAGCAATATGGCAAACGTCCCTAAAGGCATCATGTGATTGGAGTAAACATCAAAAAGCAAAAAGGCACAAACACACACACTAGGACAGTTTTTTCTGTAAACACTCGGTTGATTTAGCAAAATCCATAACCTGACGCAACATTAATGTAATGTTTATTCGACAACCTGAAAGCGCGACACCACAAAGGCAGGATTCTTCTTCATGTTTCTACTTCACACACTAAGCTACACACTAAAACATAAAGCAGCTTCTTCCCTAAACCAGCATTCAATATGTGCAGCACTGGATCCCTTCCACCTGCTGGGAATTACCTCACTCGGCATCACATCACTTCATTTCGCTCCGATTAAAGTGAATAATTTAGCTGTCACGAGATTTCTAAGACACGATGAAAATAAAAATGTAATCTTCAAGGCCGATTCGAGATCTTGCAGTAAACATATTGAAGGATTAAAACACCAACCATGATTACATAAAAAATATCCACAAGCAAAGCAAGGCACAAAAGCTCTTAAAACCTGCTCCTGTCTTTGTCTTATTTGTGCTTCGGTTGCGTCTTTTAGTTTATATGAAAGCACGACGCCGGGTAATTGAGTATGAATGGAAAAAACAAAATTAATAGTGCAACAAAAATACAATTATTGTATCATTAGTCCATCTTATTTCAACTTGGGGGCATCATATTGTGCTCCGATCAATTGAAATGCTCCCAAAAGAGGTATAATGATGAGTGAATTATTCTTACTTGTGGCAAATTTTGATTTATCATGAATTTTTATTTGACCAACAGGTTTCTTCTGACTGGAAATGACATAAACAAGTGACAAAAGACAGTAAGACACTGTGATAGACATGTTAAAGACACATTTGTTATGCAAATGCCATGATCAAAATGACTCATAGGCCTTAAAATGATTGCATAATTTCGACAAAAATGCAGCTTATATACCATTCTAAATATTCCTGCTCATTTCTAGCATGTTTCAGGCTGTTCTAATTGGCTACAAACTGAGAATTGTGGATGCAGTTTTAGAAGAACTACCAAGAACATAGCAGAACTGACCAGGACATTTTGGAATGGCTGCATTTTCTCAAGGTTATGTATACTTTTACAATAAAAATGTTTGCTTTTGTAACTACAGAAATAGTTCAAATTCATCATAAACATCTCGAAAAACCACGTGCTACCATCGTTTATCACTTGCTAATGTCGTTTCCAGTCAGAAGAAACCTATCAGTTGAATTAAAATTCACTAAATTAAAAAACTGTCATTGCTCTGAACATTTTTGCGCTTATATTTGTGAGCTACAACTTGGCTTTGGCCTCTAACACTATTAAAAGAACACAGAATCAGATGGAAGCAGCTCCTGTTTGTAACCCCTGACACTGAATCCATACACACCGTGATCTTACTGACCTGTAGATGGAGGAAATTGTTGCAAAAAAATGTGCGCAGTCACTTTAAACTGCCTCTATGAGAAGCGTAAAGTCTGATAAGCGGGAAAACTACAACAGGTCCAAGTCAGATTATTAATTCATCTTCTGCTCAACCTATTCTCGTTTGCTTGAAGCTTTTCTTTATCATAAACCGTGGACGTTTAAAATAGGATCTCGAGCAAAATCTTTGTTTTTGTGGTACGACTTGTTATACCTGCTCAATCAGTAATGAAAATTCGACCAAAAGTACTTTTAATTGCATTATTGGGACCAAGTATTTTATTACTGTGAAGATTCTGAATCAATGCCATGATGAGAAATAACAGTGAAAAATTCAGGCTTTTATCTCTAATAGCTCCTGAGACCCGTCGCTCAAATTTCATTGTGCAAAAGTGTGCCGAAAGTGGGTCAACGGGCGATCGTATCTCAGAACATATTCGATATATCAAGCTGAAACTTCACACATTTCTTTATAAACATCCATATTTTATGCTATAAAAATTTCAGGCAAATCAGAGATGGCTGGAGCAGAAGTTCTTTCAAAAATGTGATGATTTTCAGGTGTTTTTCAGCGCTCCCTTTCTCCTCACATGCCATCTTTGCCCCCTTCAGCGTCTGCTCTGTGTGATAAGGTCCTTTTGCACTTTGTGGGATATTTTAAGAAACACATGACAGAGGGGTGGAGGTGGGGAGGAGGTGACAAATGGATGGAGACGGGACTGATGAGGATGATGGAGACGAGTCCAGAGCTTCTCTCTTTGGGGCGTCGCTCTACATCTGAGTCTGGAAACTGATTTATTTATTTTTTTTCCCCGGGTTTAAACGGAGGTCAAAGTGCCGTCATGACTTTGTCCCTGTAAACCAAACTGACGGATCCTGGGAAGGCGCTGGTGGTTCGCTCCGGGACGGGGGGATGGCCGGACGCGGGACTCGCGGCCTCAAAGGAAGGCCTGACAGGAAGATGGAGGACCACACACATGGACGTAGACAAACAGATATAAAGGGTGCATGAGTGACGTGAGATGAGAAAATGTGTGAAAGATGACAGAGGACCCCCCGCCCATGTGAGGAAGCAGTGTTCACCTGCATGCGCTCTCACCTGTGTGGGGGTGTGTGTCCTGACGGCTGCAGGTACACCGGGGGCGTCAGCGCCGGGTGGGGGGGAAGCCACGGCTCGTGACCGATGGGAATGTTGTGTTGGTACTGCAGGGAGGACGGAAGCCAGATCAGTTAAACATAAAAGTCTACTGCTGCACAAACTCAGCCCGTGTCCCAAATCATGTTCTTTTTCTTTTTCCTGTCAGTACGTGTCACAGTTGCCCCCGTACATAGTCTGGACTGTTGCTACTTCATCATAATATTGCACCTTAAGCTTTGACTCTCTGCTTGGTGTATCAGTCCGAGGTGTGAAATCATTCGTCTTTCTGCTCTCAGTGGCTCAAGTCTGCCACTTTACTGAGACATGCAGACAGTTTTTGGAATAAATGTCGCTCTGTTTACTTCACTTGACTCAATTCAGCTGAAAAGTCCCTCGATTCTGGTCATTTTACTGTTTATTAAGTCCTTCATGGCTTCAAGATTTTCTGTATTCTACAGAATCTGGTTTGAGAATAAAGCAGAATAAAGTGATTTTGACAAAACATAGTAAATATAAAGAGATTTTATACTTAGATTTGGTTAATTTTACCAACAGAACTGCATATCTCACATGATTAGTTCAAGGAGTGTCTGAAATTTGGAAATCCACATCTTTTTTTCATTTCTTATTTGATTAAATGGTGTAATACTGGTGATTTTTGTAAACACAACACGTGTTTCAAGCTTGTTGGTCAACGGAGACATTGAGCTCTGTTTACTTCAGTTGACTCAGTTCAGCAGAAGACTCAGTCCCCCAGTTCTGGTCACTTTACTGTTCATTGAGTCCCTCATGGCTTCAAGATTTTCTGTGTTTTACAGAATCTCGTTTGATAATAAAGTAGAATAAAGTGATTTTAAAAATACATATAGTAAATATAAAGAGATTTTATACTCAGATTTGGTGGATTTTACAGACAGAATTGCATGATTAGTTCAAGGGCTGTATGACGTTTTTTTCTATTTTCATTTGCCTCTGATTAAATGGTGTCATTTTGGTGATTCTATTTAAACACAACACGTGTTTCAAGCCAGTTACTCAACGGGGACTTCCAGCATCTTGGAAGAAAGTCACTGTTTATGTCACTTGAGTCAGTTCAGCTGAAAACTCCCCGAATCTTTGTCACTTTACTGTCGGTTGCAGCTGAGTCACTGCTGTTCTCGGGAAAACACTGAGGAGCACAGAATGTGTTGCTTTTTTTTAAGGAATCTTTATTTCTGCCCAGAAGAAAATTATCATGATTAAACATTCTGATTTTAGATTTCTAGATTTAGTTAATTTTACCGAGAGAACTGCATGTCGCACACATAAGTTCAAAGACCATATGAAAGAATAAAAAAATTCAACAATTTGTCCTGTTTTTACAGTTTCTGGCTTTGATAAATTGTGTAATTTTAGCGATTTCTTAAAAAACAACACGTCTTTCAAGCCTGTTACTTGATTGGGACATCCAGGCGGTTCTTCAAACAAAAGAATTTTTACTGTTTATCGAGCTTCTAATGGCTTTCATGTTTTTTTAAAATCTAAGAATCTAGTTATTCCAATTTTTTAAAATTAACTATTAACATTTTAACCTTAGATTTGGTTAATTGTACCAAAAGAACAGGAATTTACACATGATTAGTTCATGGACCATGTAAAAGTTGGAAATCCAAAGATGTTTTTTTGTAATTTTTGTAGTTTCTGGCACTAATAAATGGAATAATTTAGATTTTTTTTTTTTAAAGATAAAATGTCTATCAAGCCTGTTTCTGAAACAAGACATCCAGTTAGTTCTCTTTACTTTTATAAATGTAGGTAAGCAAACTTTTACACAAAACACAGAGAATAAAGTGATTCATGTCAATATTTTAAACGTAGATGTGGTTTATTGTTCAGACAGAACTCCATTGGAAATGCATTGTTTTTTTTTCCTTTTTTTAAAAATAGTTTCTGTCCCCAATAAATGGTGTAATTTTTTTAAACATAACTTGCTTATCAAACTCGGCGGCAGGTTTTGGGCTTCAGAGGGTTAAACTGCATTGCTTTGACAATGTGAATTAGAAAAAAATATATATTCTTTTCCGGTTACTATCAATCTCAGTGAATCTACTGTCAAACAAAGGAGCAAACATGAGATTTTACTGGGACACGGCTGATCAATACAGCTCACGTGCGACAGGGAACGGGGTATGAAAGTGGGTTACGTGAGGTCGCTCACCGGATGCAGGCTGGGCTCAGGGCTGGCGTGAGAGCTGCAAAACAATGACATGTAATTAATATAACTGACAGCCGATTTGCATAATAAGTGATTACTGAGTGCACTGTGCAAGAACATGAGCTGAAAAGTGAGAAAAAGGCAGGAAACCCCTACAAAAGGCTATTTCTGTGTTAGAGTAAAGATTATCCAGGCCATTATGTGGATTAAGGTCAAGGTTAGAGGATAAGGAGTGAATGCAATAACTAGTGCAGCAGAGAGAAGGTGCAGGTGAGTGTTCTGTGCATGTGTTGTACCTGATATGCGGCGGCTTGGCTGGAGAAATGGCGACTGACAAAGAGACAAAAAGTCGAACAAAAACAGAGAAATGAAAAGCAGCACTGAAGGTTTGTCAGTTTATCTTCATTTATCTGCACTTGAGTCCAGACACGTTATTATTCTGCTGCTCAGCTGCTGCCAAAAACTCAAATCTTCACTCATTTGTGTTCCGGCGCTGAGTGACAAATCCAAATCCAATAAATAAAAGGTGTTTTGACACCGACTCTGACAGTCTTTTGGGGTAAATACGGTTTGTAATCAGCGTCTGATCGTTTCGGCGCTGAGCTGCGAGCTCGCGGGCCTCCAAGCCTCTGTGGTTCACAGAAGGAGGGAAATTATGGAGGAGTGAAGAGTACAGCAGGTGCTTTTGACAAAGTAGAAAGGTGACGCTTCAGTCTAACAACCTGGAATTTTGAGCACTTTCTTTAAAAGAGAAACCAGAGCTGCTTTTAAGTCTGTCGGACTTGTCAAATTACCGTTTAATGTGAGACATTTTTCAGAGAGCAACCTTTGGAGGGGCTGATGTGTTCACAGATGAATATGTTCAAATGCAATTCTATACGCCGCATGTACCTGAAAACACCTGCACGTGACCTTTATGACAGCGGACCAAACAGCTGCTGTTAGTTACTCGTGTTGTCGGCGCTGATAAGACTCACCTTTGCCCAGCGACTGAGTTCGGGAGGGGTATCTCTTGCTCGGCCTCCTCTCGAAGGTGCTGGCTCTCCTCAGTCGGCCTCCGTGAGTGGCCTGATACTCCGTCTTCCCACTGAGACAAACATCAGAGGAGGGCGAAGGGGGGAAAAAAACAACAACAATCAGAGCATTAAAGAGCGACCACGCTGCTGTCTGGCTCAGGCTACAGGGTTTATTTCTCTAAACTGAAGGCAGATTCTGGGCGTCTCTTTGCTTCTGAGTTAATTTTTTACTGCATTTTAAAGTCCTGCACCTCTATGGAAACAGAACAACCATGCCTATAAGGACAGAGCCCTCAGACATGTCTTGTGTGCTGTAAAACACAGCTATAATGCAACAAATCATAACAAAATGTAACTGAAAACACCTGGAATCCACATGTACGACATCTTTCCAAGAGCCCACAGATGTTTTGAATACTGTAAACAATGGTGGCTCTGCGCACTATACATATTTTACTGTCTACATTTTTATTCCCATACTCGTCTCCTCTCTGCTCTGCGTAAACACTGCCTGCAGTTCAGCTGAAAAGCCTCTTCTATTTGCACCGAGAAGCTCAGAATTTTTTGCTTGTTACAGGATGCGAGTAGTGCAAAAGGTTTCATTCAGGAACTTTCAGCTGAAACATATAAAATAAAGCGAATTATTGAAACATAATGATTTCAGCCTTAGACTGAGTTAATTTTCCCGACAGTGCTGCACGTCACACATGATTAGGACCACCTGAAAGCTGCAAATCTGAAGATTCTTTCGGTTTTTACAGTTTCTTAGGTAATTTTTTTTAACATAACACTTCTTTTAAAACCGTCAGCAGGTTTTGAAAGAATAATAAAGTGCGAAAATTACACCATTTATCAGCCAGAAAGCAAAGTTTTCAGATGAACTGCAGGATGTGTTTACACAGAGAGACAACAAGAGGAGGAAACGAAACATACACGATAAAATCAAGAAATGCAGCATGGCTCAGAAACAGAGAAGCAAGTTGTTGGAGGATGCATTCAGCACGGTGAAACGGTGGAGTTTGTAAAAACGTAAATATCTGTAATATGTAATATAATAATATAGAGTCATAAAATGTCTTTGTAGCATTGGTGACAGCTGTAGACACTCAGTAAATGTTGTACATGTTGATTCCTGCTTTTGTTTTGTTCTGCAAAATAAATCATCACAAAAATTCAACCTTTCAATTCAAGGTGACCGGACCTTTTCTGTAAGAGCCCCCACCCTCTGGAACAGTCTCCCTGAGGAGATCAGATCTGCAAGCACCTTATCCTCCTTTAAAACTCTTTTAAAAACACATTTTTACAGGAGTTGTTTTATGAGTGGACTTTTACTCCATTTGATGGCAGTATTAAGGGCAGTACATTTTATCTTCTAACTGTTTTATTCCTTCCTTTATTGTCTTTTGTCTTCTTTTACTGGGTTTTATTTTTCTTATATATTGTTATATTGTTTTATTGTCTTTCATGCTTTATGTGCTTCACCTTCACCATTTTTTATTTATTTATTTATGTATTTTTTGCTTTTCACTTCCTTTAATGTTGTTTAATGTTGTTTTCCTTACACTTCTCTTTGAATCTGTACAGCACTTTGTATCCCTGCTTTGAAAAGTGCTATATAAATAAAGTTTATTATTATTATTATTATTATTATTATTATTATTATTATTTCTCCCTTTATCGTGATTCCTGTCCTTATAACTGTGTCACGCTGCACATAAAAAAACATGTCTGAGTTCTCTTTTGCTCCTAGTTGTGGTTATACTGCTTCCACAGAGGTGCAGGACTTGATTCTGCAGTAAAAAATGAGCCCACAGTGTGTAAAAATGTGACATGAGCCAAAAACACCCAAAAACAGTTTGACAGTTTTAACGGCTTAAAAATTTTTGGTAACACTGGTTTATAGTTCACTGGTAGAGGATTAACTGTAACAGATATTAAGGTTAAACTAAGTCTATATTTTGGACTAGACTTTAGTAAACATTGTAATTTAACAGAACATTTAAGAAACAATACAAAAATGACTCTCAGTCCGACCAGTTTTTCATGTATTTCCATTTAACTGACTTGAACTTTCGAACTTACACACCCACTGACACGCATTATGATTAACAGTGAACAATAAAGAGCTGAAGGTGACACTGGTTTGGCTTTTTATCCTGGATTACATGACACACTGTGCAGGCGTTCCTGTTTTAACTCCCGCCACTGTAAAAACGAGTTATTATCCGACTTCAATGTAAAGCCGAGGACTTTTTTCTGTGCTTTGATTTGGCCGCTCCTGCTAATGACAGGTAGATGCCCTTCAGCTGGGAGAATTTGCTTTGACCATCTCTGATAATAGTCACAAGAAAACAAACAATATGAAGGGAATATCTCAGTCGCCATAGGAACAGCTCCATGTAACCATAGATACACTGTAACCATAGATACAAAGGCTCTGTTTTATGTGACACACAATTCCCCCCATATGCTGGTAACTAGTGGCAGCCGCAACTACCTGGCTGAGCCTCCTCCAGTTCACCTACAGCAGCTCTGAGTTCCTACCTGAATCTGAATCGAGAACCGAGTCGCGTGAAGTCGCTGCGGCTCGCCTTGCCCGTGGTTGGCTGTCGTAGCCGGAAGAAGGCGTGGCTCTCCACCGCGCACTTCCACAGGTGTTTGCAGCTCTTGGCGCTGGCCAGCTGGAACACGAAGGTGTGCTCCTGCTCCCGGCCCTGCACGGGAAAACAACCAGATTTGTAAGTAGGTTCGTACGCATTTGCCGCCAGAATACGGAGGAAACAAACCTGATCATCGTCCTCCACCACCACCAATGTGAGTCGACTCTTTTTGAAGTCCAGTCGGGTGATTTTTGGCCTGACAAACACAAAAAAGATGCATAAAACCAAAGTTATGCGGCTGACAAAAAATAATTTTCTGTCAGTACGGGTCATTCCCTTGTGGTGTACCTCAAGGGTCCATATTGGGTCCTATTTTGTTTTCATTATACAGTTAGCTCCTACATTATTTATACTCATACCAATATTTAATTTATAGTAAAGTCTTTATTTGACCAACAAACTTTTTTTTTCTGGCTGTAAATAACATAAACAAATGACAAAAAAAAAACCCAACAATGACACAATAATGATGAATTTGAACAATTTCTATGTTTTCTAGCCTTTTCATTAAAAATGTCATGTCCAAAATTATTCATTAATTCATGAAATTGTTGCAAATGTTTTGAAAAAGAATGCAGCTTCTTCACAATTCAGAATGGTCCTCAGTAATTGATGGCAAACTCTATTTGCCACCACATCAGTCTTTACGTGGATGTGACTTTATAGCCTTTTTCCGTCTTGTTGTCCGTAAACAAGTACAAGAAACTCCTTAAATATGGTTTAATTTCATCATTAACATCTCTAACACAATGTTTTAGTGTCTTTTGTCAACTGTTCATGTCATTTCCGGTCTGAAAAAAACCACCATAAATCACAATTTGACATAAAAGTGGGTAATTTTGGTCCGAATGGTATGCGCTGACACTTCTATGCTGATGATACTCCGCTATACCCACCACTGAAACCTAACACTGACTTTTCTTTAATTCCTTAACCACTGGTTTGACTGATGTAAAAATGTGTCTCCCTCAAACTTTTCTCAGCCTTAATGAAAATAAAAATGAGATGTTGAGTCTCAATCGTTCTTGCCTTCCACCAGCAGTATGTCATCATATCTTGATTCGATGGCATTCAATCAGAAACCTCACGTTAAAAACGTTGACATTATTTTTAAATCTTTTAAATTAAAAACTAAACTAAAAGTTTTATCTGAAGTCAACTTCTTCCTTCAAAGACCTTGTGAAGGTCACTAACGCTTTTATTACTTCTAGACTGGACTGTTGCAGTTTTTTGCATGTTAAAATGAACCGGGTTGGTTGCAGTGGCTCTGGAGCATATTTCCCCAATGCTGGCCTCCTGACACAGGCTACCTGTTCGGTTATGTCTTTTAATGCACTATTTATGCACTTACCTGTCAGATCTGTTGCATATTTATGTACCATGTCACCTACTTAGGTCATTAAATCAGAATCTGTTAGTGTTTCCTGGATGTAGACGGACACTTCAGGCTAACCGAGAACTCTCGGTGGCAGCTCCACAGCTATGGAATAAGTAATTGGTTTAATGGTTTAATATGCCTGATGTTGTGCATCACTTTGTTGGGTGTAAATGTGCTCTATAAATAAACTGACTCGACTTGATAAAGACTCTGCATTAGTGCCTGAAGTTTGAGTGGGATGATGAGAGCTGCGGTTTGCAAACACTTTAAAGCAGCTTCCAGAGTGATTTTGGTTTTCGCGTCACGTCCCTGAACTCATCCTGTCACACCAATACATCCAAAACCACAATTTAATTAAACAGACCGATTCTCAATCACTCAAAAAAAAGGCTGCAGTTTTATTATTTTCATGACCAGATTTATCCACTGAAATTCATTTAGATTCACTGATAAATCATCAAAACACTGAGTCCTGAGCTTACAATCACACGCTCCAAAAATCTTTAATTTACTTTAGTATTAATCAATAAAAGCAGCAAAGTTTCTGAGTTGACGAATTGTATGTGAAAAATGTTTGTTATCTTTACACTATTTCTGCATAAAAACATGAGATGAGATACGAATAATCAATTATCCAAATCATTTTCTGCCAATCACCTAATTAATCTACTCAGAATTTTAACTGTAATTGATACAAACAGTTGCTGGAACAGTCAGGAACTGTATTTAAGTGTCTGTAAGTGTGTGATGCTGCCATATAACGGCACAATTTCTGATATTTTGACGAGATTCTGACGTTTAGTGCTCATTTGTGTCATTAAAAGTAATATAAGACTGCAGTTTATGTAAATGCCGCCTCTGTTTTTAATACATTTTATTAAAAATTGGACAAATTTTGGGAATCACATCATATTAGAGATGAAACAACATGGGGATACTGTAATGTTCCAATACTTTTACTAAACAAATGGTGAAAATAACAGCAAATACCTGTAAAATAATATTTTCAGCTGATTTAAATACAGTAAAGATGTGTTATTTTATTATATGTTCTGTGATTTATCATGTGTGATATGTTATGAAGATGTGACGTTAAAAAATTATATATTTTTTAAAAGCTCTGTGACAATTTTTCAAACCGTGTTATTTATCATTCTCATAACATTGTAAAAGAAAAAATTATAATCTTATAAAAACACTGACATTTGATGTGGATGTTATTTAGTTTTTTTTTACTTCCTTCTGTATTATATTTTTTAATTAGATTCTGATGTTCAGGGCTCATTTCTGTCCTAAAATGTAATATAAGTCTGTAGTTTATATAACTGTTGCCTCATTTTTAATCTTCGGTTGGATGTACGTACCAAAAGAAAAGCCCGATTTTGTTGGAGCCCTCGAACACCAAGATGCCCGTCGGAGTGAGACCCAGTGCATACTCTCCTCCATCTCGGCCCTGCAGACACGACATTTATTTACAACATCTTTAGCTCTGTGACACACCTGTGATGCAGTGACTCAATGACACTTTATGATACGCACCTTGACAAAGTGCATATCTACGCCGTAAAGCTCCAGCCACTTGCATTTGTTGAGAAAAGAAATCTCGGCCTGCGACGGGCTCTTTCCCCTGAAGACAGAAGACAAGACAGAAAACTATCAGAGATTAAACTGGCTGCACGACCTGGACTGGTCATCGGTGTGATCTCAGAGGGAGACGCTCAGCGAGTGACTCTACTGAGACAAACATCAGAGGAGGGTTAAGGGGAACATAATCATTACGAAAACTACAGTCAGAACGCTAGAGAGCAACAAAGCTGCAGTCTAAAGTCAGGTTACAGTTTAACTCTCTGAACTGGAGGCAGATTCTTGATGTTTTTTTGCTCCTTTTAACGTTTTTCCTCACTGTGAGCTCGTTTTTCACTGCAATATAAAGTCCAGCACCTCTATGGAAACAGAACAACCACGACCAAAAGTAGAGAGAAGTCTTTTGTGCAGTATGTCACAGTTATCATGTCATATACCATTAAAGGAAGGAAAAAGTTGAATTTATTTAACTAGTTATTTTGCCAGAATGTGCAAAATCCAGAACCAACATGTACAACAATCATCAAAGTGTCCACAGGCGTTACCACAACAGGAATAAAGGTGGAGCTACATACTACACATCTATTTACATGTTTAATTTGTGTCCCTACTTGTCTCCTCTCTGCTCTGTGGAAACACTGCCTGCAGTTCAGCCGAAAAGCCTCTGAATATTTTTCCACAGTTGAGTCACTCGAGATTTCTCATTTGCACCAAGAAGCTCAGAATGTTTAGTTTTTCAGAGGACGTTTAGCGCAAAATGTACATATTTTGAAACAAGACATGCAGAATAAAGCGAGTTCTTGTTGAAATGTTATGATTTTAAACTTAGATTTGGTCAATTTTACAGACAGAACTAAATGTTACAGAAGATTGAAAATCTGAAGGTTGTTTCTGTTTTTACAGTTTTTCTGTCTTCTTTCCTCTGAGGACATCAAATAAGACAGAAAAGCATCAGAGACACTTGCTGCATGACCTGGACCGCTAATCGGTGTAATCTCAGAGGGAGATGCTCAGCGAGCGACGGTTTGGCTGCGACCCGACTCAGCCTTGGCCTGGTGTGCAGGATGACTGTGAACTGCCCTTGCGTGGCTCGGCCGGTCCGGCGAAGCGCGGCCGACGTGTTTGTAATCTAATCCGAGATGGGAGCAATCAGGACCGCTGCCGGGTTAAACACTGCCTGGAATCAATCAAGACCCCTCAGGGATTAAACCCATAATCCTTCACGCAGACCAGCGAGGAGAGCGCAGAGGGAAATTAGACGCCCTTGTCAGTGAAAAACGCCGGCGCTGAAAGGCCACAGCAGAATGACTTCCTTTGCTGCTCGGCGCTCGGCTTTTTGCCCCACTTGTTCCACCCGGCGAGGAGGGAAATCAGCTCGGGTCAAATTGCCGGCTGCTTGGACGCCCTCCAATAAGCTGCTTTGAAACAGCACAAGTACTGTGGTTAACTAGTGCAGATGGCTGAGCACAAATGTTTATGGGTCTAGTGCACAAGAAGGTTCCTATTTTAGGGCTTTAACTGTCCACACTGTTACAAAAAGAAAAAAAAAACCTCGAACTTAAAAGAACAGTGAAATCTGACAGCAAAGATGCCAGAAAATATGATTAAAAAAACCACAGTGGAATACTGTGATGTTCAGAGACTGTATGAAATGGTGAAAGTAACAGCAAACATCTGCAAAATAATGAGATTCAGCTGATTTAAATGCAGTTAAAAGGTGAAATTTGACAGTCACACATTGTAACAGAACAAATTACTTTGTAAAAACATACATTATTAATGTGTCCAAAAAAATAAGTAGCTCCAAAAACATTACAGTAGAAAATAATTTTAAAAAGATATATATATTTTTTTGAATAAGTTAATGACTTGACATTTTATTTTGAACTTTTTAATTTCTCTTTCAGATAAGATAAATATCTGTAAAGTAACCGCTTTTTTTTCTGATTTAAATACAGTAAAATAGTGTAATTTTACCGTCAAACGATATGAAGGAGCAAATGATCATTTATAGAAATAATAATAATAATAATAATAAATATACAATTTGATGTGGATATTGTGTACAGTTTACGCCTTTTTTTTTTATAGCAACAACACAAAAATTTATATTTTCTTTCTAGTTGTTATTAGTAATTTAATAAACCATGAAAAAAGACAGTAAAATAAAAGGCAATTGTTTTTAAAAATGTTTTTAAAACATTTTTTTTAAGTTATTTTTTACAGTGTACACCCAGCCGATCAATTTTGCAAATAATTTCTGTGTAAAATAAAAGTTTAATTCTTTTGAAAATGTCAAAACTCAGGACACCAACTTTTTCCATCAAATAACTGCAAATATCTGAAAATGAGGAGATTTTTGTCTCATTGAAATAAAGTTTAAAAAATAGTATAGTTTGACGGTCAAATGTTGTGAAAGAACAAATGACCATTTCTAAAAGTGCTGATTTGGATTTGAATATTTTCAGTTGTGGCCCATTTGTTTCACAGCTAACACATAAATAATGCTATTATTTATCTGTGACTGTTGGTAATTTAACAAAACAGCTGAAATCTGTAACATAACAGTAAATTGTTCAAAAAAAACAAAACAACCAAAAACTCATTGATTTTTTTTACAGTGCAGGATAAACACTGCAGCCTTATTCTCACCTGAGGTCCAGCCACCTGCTGAAGATGTCCGCCTCCATGGTCTCGCTCTGTTTGGGAGTGAAGCGGAACTCTGACACCAGCTCAGGTGAGTGCTCCAGCGGGTCGCAGTCTCCCAGCTCACCTGGAACACAGTTCAGGTAAGTAAGAAAGACAAACCACGGCTACTGTCAACAGTAACAAAGACAGGAGTTCCCCTGGAAACACGACTTGTGAAATTTTGGGGGCGTCTCTGAAATATTTGCTATTTTCGTCACGCGTTTCTATTTTTCTTTGTCTGCCTCATCGTGGATCACGTCTGAACGTGGGCTATAACTGGTGTGTGATTCATGCATGAGAGTGATTCATCAGATATCCACGTTACTGTCTGAACCCCAAAACCCACCGGCTGCTCTGGAAAGAAAAAAAAAATCACCTTCATTATACAGTTTACCAGAGCAAGAAACTGAAAAAAATGCTTTGCAACGGTCATACCATTCTCAAAAACAGCCAAAAATCTGCTTAAAATTGTAATATTTAATTGAAATAATTTTATTTCTCATCTCATTTTAAGAAAATCCTGAAAAATGAACAATTTACATTAGATTCAGTAAAAAAACAAAAAAAAAAATCCTGATTTTTTTTTTTCTCGGTTGAACTGCAGGTAGTGTTTACACAGAGGAGAGAGATGATGGATGGGAACAATTGGTGTGATTGAAAGCAAGATAAAGGGTTAAAAAAATCAAGACAGTTAAAAATAGTAAACAGAGGAGTAAGTTGTTGGGAGATACACTCAGCATGGTGAAACATCTTTCTAGAGTTGATGTGCTGAGAAGAGTGAAACACTACAAGGTTGTAGTTCTCGTAGATTAATGGTAGCAACTGGACTTGCTTGAGTTCCTTGAAGATGTTCCACCTCTCATCCAAGAGGCTTCATCAGTTCTGACTAGTCAGGAGTTCCAGATACTGATATCCTTAAGGAGCCATTAACACCTGAGTTTTGGTTTCAATCAGGGGCTTGTTGCTCCTCCCTCTCATTATGTGAGTCGTTAGTGCTCCTCCTGCCACAAAGGGGTTCGTTAGGGTCTTCTGTGGCTAGGTGTGAATGGGTTTATCTTCCTGGGGAGAGATCTTAGGACTGAAAACAGGTGAGAGGTGATGCCTCAGACCTCCACCTCTGCTGAGGGATGGTCTTTCCAGTTTGATATAAATGGCTTCTTTCACTCCTCTCTCAAACCATCTGTCCTCACCGGCCAAAATCTGTACATTACTGTCTTCAAATGAGTGTCCTTTATCCTTAAGATGCAGGTGGATGCTGAGTCCTGTCCTGTGTTAATGGCTCCTCAAGGATATCAGTATCTGGAACTCCAGACTAGTCAGTCAGAGCTGATGAAGCCTCTTGGATGAGAGGTGGAACGTCTTCAAGGAACTCAAGCAAGTCCAGTTGCTACCATTAATCTACCAGAATAACCACGACCTGGATGACTGAGAATCTTCACAGACGTGTCTACTGGGTTGTAGAGGTTTTAAAAATGCAAATAGTATATATTGTTTTATTGGGAGCAGGGTTTTATATCGTATGAATAATGAGCCCAAAGCGAATAAAAACGTAACAGGAGCAAAGAAACTGTTTGGGATTCAGAGGGTTAAAAAGTAAAGCAAAATAAAACACAGTGAATCAATAAAATAAATGCAGCACGGCTCAAAAACCGAACACAGAGGAACAAATTACTGAAAGATACACTCAGCACGGTGAAACATCTTCCTAGGCTGTCGTTGCAGCACATCATCACAAACTTCATCACTTCTTCTTAAACATCAGAAACTTTCTTGATGCCATAAAACAAAAGAAAAGAACAAACCTAATGACCTAATAATGACGAATAAAAGCTAAATCACTTCTGATCAAACCGCCCTGGTGTAGCTCACACACCAGAGCAGCTGCACATCATTTGCTGCTGGTTCACTTGTTTAAAGCGAGAATGTAGTTTAGTTTTTTTTTAACAAACAGGGAGAGAGTTAAATGCAACACTCTCTCCAGCCTTATCGGGTCTGATACGAGCTAATGGTGGCTAATGTTAGCACACCTCATGCAGTCGTGCTGCTGAGTGACTTTGACAGAGTGAGTCTCCTCTGCTTGTGCTACGAGTTTTAAAATTCAACATTATTCCAGTTTTATGACGACATATTTAATCCATGAGACCACAAAGTCATTCTTAGCATATTTGTTTTGTTTTTGAATATTAATTTTCTGATTACGCACATCATTTCTTTATTTAATCGTAGCATGCTTGTTGTGATTGTTGTGATTATTGTGATTATTGTGATTATTGTGATCGCTCAGAGAGAAAACTAGAAGAACAGAGAGTCACACACACCATCTGTCAACCAAAGATGCAGAGAGAGTCTTCTTCCTAAAACATTCACTCTGTTCAGAACAATGACTTGGAATAAATAATTTTTGCAGGATTTTGAGCTTAAAACTGAGAAACACATCCTGGAGACGTGAGACTTTCATTAATTTGCTAAAAAGCAGATCAATAGGGGACCTTTGACATCTTCCTGATGGCTTTAAAAGCTCTATTTCTGACCGTCTTTCCATCAAAGGCCCCGAGGTCCTAAAATCAGAGGATATCACAGCGTTTATTTCTTTATTTCTTTAAATCTTGTCCTTATTCTCACCTTCTTGTGACTCTATATTAATTGTATCACTGTTTGGTTGCCAGTTTTTCTTCTTAATTTGATGTTTTATTTCAATGTTTTCTGTTTTTTGCTTATTCTATGTGGAGTTCTTTTTGTTTTTATGATTCATACTTTTGTTTTTCCTGTTTTTAACATGTAAGTCACTTTGAAAACCTTGTTTTGGGAATAAATGAAGGTGATTTTTTATTAATATTATCATGGATTTCTTGTACTTTTTTGGCAGCAGATTCTCCAATCAGAGAAGTCAGAGCAGCTCTTGCACGTAGCTGCATTTGCACCAAAAATGAATAATAATTTCCACACCACAGTGGGATCGATGGAGATTAATGGCTTCCTGAAGCGATTACAGAGAAGGGGGCGTGAAAAAGTCTCTGCCGAGAGTATAAATGAACACAAGTGAGAAGAAGTTTACTTACTTTGTAAACAATACGCCGCCAGCTCCACTGACACGTCGTACGGACACTTCAACCTGACGGAGGACACAGACAGTGGGCTGTTTGTCAGAGCGTCTCCATGATGCCATGTGTACCATGTGTTGGATGTGGAAGTGTCTGAATGCCCTCCACTGTGTGTGTCTGTGTGTGTCAAGGAGGAGAGGAGCAACCCTCTTCCTAAAATAAGCAGCCCTCTGCTGTTCTTGATCTTGAGCTTTATAATAGAGCTGGACTCTGGGGACCCGTGGCCCAGATAGAGGCAGGAGGAGGGAGGCGGCTGAAGTGTGTGTTTGTGCAGGCGGGGGGTTTGTGTTTGCGTGGAAGGAGCAGCCGCCCGCCGACGTGCACGAGTCCCAGAAAACTCGGGTGAATGTGACCTGCTGCTGCTGCTGCGCCGCTACAGGTGCTTCTGACGCTGACCTCCGGACAAACGAAGCAGCTCGAACCGACTCGTTCTGATTTGATTCTTTGTGCTGCAGCTGCTTCCTAAACACGAGCGAACTCCTCTGCTAGTGTTTCATTTGTGCTATTTCAGCCTTAAAAACCAGAAACTGCTGCAGATCCATCAGGTGGATAATAAACTAATTATTTTGGCTCGACTTTACATTGTGTTGTGTAGTTTTATGAAGATAAACGGCACTGACTGGATGTGTTGCAGCAAAAGCACAGAAATTAATGCAAACATAGCACAGATAAGGAACTTTAAAAGCTGAAACTGCAGCTGTTTCCTCCCTGCTGAACTAAACATGAGAATGATGGCAAACTCCTATATATATATATACATATACACAGCAAAGCAAACTAATTTCTAGTGGATTTTTATTTCACTATCAGGTTTCTTCTGGATGGAAACGACATAAACAAGCAACAAAGGGCAGCAATTCTTGTGTTTGCGATGTAAAATGATCAATTTTAACTACTTCTGTGAGGTCTTTTTTTGCATTTGTACTAAAACTGCCATGAAGTTGTTGCACATTTTGAAGAAAATGCAACTTCTACATGATTCCAAACGGTCCCACCATGTTCTAGAGTGGATAACGGGTCTGCTACTGAGAGAGGCCACTGGACGGGCAAAAATGATTTAAATTACTAAGAGCATTTGAAATGGTACAAAAGCTGCATATTCTCATTTTTTTGGACAATTTTGGATATGACATTTTAGTAAAAATACATAGAAATACTTAAGATTTATCACTAATATGTCTAACACAACATTTTATTGTGTTTTTTTTTCACTCTTTTATGTCATTTCCAGCTAGAAAAAAAGACAGTAAGACATTGTGATAGAGGTGTTAATGAAGAACTTGAAGTATTTCTGTTTTTTTTTTGGTCCAAAATTATTCAAATATTGTGTATTTTTGAGGAAATGCATCATTTTCTCAAAAATATTTGACAAGGGGATCAATAGTTCTGGATGTGGTGTTTTTTTTCGTAAAATGTTAAAAAATAACATTAAATAGTTAAAAATGTATCATTAACATCTTCATCACAGCATCTTGCTGTGTTTTTCACTCGTTTATGTAATTTCCAGTCAGAAAAAAAGACAGTAAGACACTGTGTTAGAGATGTTATGTTAAGTTATTATGAATTTTAACTATTTCTATGTTTTTTCAAATGAAGTTTAGAGAAAATGCAGCTTCTACATGATTCCAAACGGTCCTACCGTGTTCTGGAGCGTTCCAAAACACCATAAACTAAGAACAGCTGATGCAGTAGTTCTCTAGTCGTGGCATTTTTAGTAAAAATATGCAAAGAATAACATATAAATTGTTAAAAATGATAATTAACATTGCTAACACAACATTTTATTGTGTTTTTTAACTCGTTTATGTCATTTGCAGCTAGAAAGAAGCTGTTGGTTGAATAAAAATTCACCATAAATCAAAATTTGGCACATGTATGAATAATTTTACAGCTTAACCGTATACATGATGCTGACGTGTGTGTCAATCTGTGTCTTTAGTGTGAAAAACAGACTTACTTGCCAGACAGAATGTCCTGTCGAAGCTGCAGCACAAACAGATACCTGTTGACGCACAAACAACAAACAACGTGAGCGAGACATAAATCAATCGATGTATCACGAGCCTCTCCTCATCTCTGACACGTAATTTGTTTTAACAAGTCTCTGTCCGTCCGGCCTTGATTTGAATCTGCCCACAGCAGCAGAGTAATTAGCCCCACGTCCCCTTTGGACCTCGACACCGGAGGCTCCAGAGGAAACTGTGGATGATTTTTTTTTTTTACCTTGTAAATTCCTCACGCAGGTTATTTGGCTCCGAAGAGTAAAATTTCACTCTGAAGAAGAGTCGGTATGGCGAACCATCTGAAAGAAGAAACAAAAGGAGGGAGGGGGGAGACCTTCCTATGATTTATTTCGAGCATTTAATCCCATCTCTCCACTGTATATTCTTTTCATCCGCTCCATCCATCACCAGGCTAGAAATCTTTATCCACTCGTACGTCTCTACTTTTATATTTCCTCCCAGCTCCACCTGAACACCAGCCACCCAGCAGCAGACATCCATCCGTCACTGCTCCATTCATCCCTCCGCTACAATCTGCAGAGCAAACAAGGCCGCGGCTGCTAATGCACGCACTAATCGCCGTGTCAACACTCGATAACGCTCCACCTGCTCCCCCACTTACCTGCTCGCACATGCACATACAAACAGGTCTAATCAGAAAACGGTCCGAGGCCGCCCGAACTCACCTCGGATCTGCTTCTTTATCGGCTTGGACATGTCCAGCCAGTGCTGAAAGCGAGAGACAAGAGCAAGGAGGTGAGAATGAGGTTTTATCAGCTGCACGGCGGAGTAGAGAAGCAGGAGCTGGTTGCTCACCGAGACCTGATCCGAGTCCATGAACTGCAGCCCGAAGTAGTCGGTCTCCACCAGATCTATGTGGTACATGATCTGGTCGAACAGGTCCTGGCCTTTGGATTTGCTCTATAAGAGAGAAAACAAAACAAAAAAGGGAATTAGTTTAGATCTTCTCTGATGTACAAGCTGAGTTAGGAGTTGCGAAGCTGCCAGATTCAGGCATGAAAGAGTCTGAAAGCTGCAGCAAAGGAAACACATTCAGGTTATCTTTTCATTATGTGGCGTCGGTGAGCCCAACAGTCATGATAAGCTGGTTATCAACTACCTAAGTTGAGCTAATGTTGCTGGATCTGGTTCTGAAGGTTCACGTCAAAGCGTGGCCAAACATGGAGCCGAGAATTCCTCACGAAAAGAACAAACTATGGTCCTAAATTAAAAATATAATCAAGCCGTCCATAAGGAAATCCATCTACAGCTTCTACACCTTCCTCCACCTCATGTGCACCTCTTCTGGCGCCACTTTAAGTCATTTTATTTTTGCTTATGATCAGAAATGTGCAACACTCTGCTGGTTTAATAGTTCTGAATACACCAGATGTGCTACTCTTACAAGAATAAGCTGTTTTTGTAGCTTACACTGGTCTTTATATTTTATATTTGCATTTTTCTTACTGTACTTAAATAAATGCTTCTGATTGCTACTTAACGTTGTGATGCACTATGCAACGACAATAAAGGAATTAGTTTAAAAAAAAAAAGTTATAAGGTTAACAAATGAATCAAATCACTGCCCATCTTTAAGGCATAAGTCGGCGTTTCAGACCCTTTTAGCCTTTCTCTCATCTCAAGAGGCAATAATTAGCTGGTTAACCAATTAGCTGCCAACTATTTTCATAAATCATCAGCTATTTTATCATGCGATTATCTGGGCTTTAAGGCAAAAAAAAAAGCCAAAATCCCCGAACCCAACCTCCTAAAAGGGAAGGGTTTCCGAATTCCTTGCCCCCCCAAGAAAAGAAAACGAAAAACCTTGGGGTGAGGACAAAAAAACGAAAATTTTCAACAATTTCCGAAAATTTAACAACCAAAACAACTAACGAATATCATCAACTCAGCGTAAAAAATAAACCAACTGAAATTTTTAATATTAAAAAAGTGGGAAATGTGTGATTTTTGCCCAATTAATTGACTAATTAATCTACGATAGAAATAGTGGTTGGTTGCAGCTCTACTAGCTCAGACATCTGTTCCTCTGTAACACTATATGAGGTAGGTTCTAATCAGGTAATTTTATTTAATTAGATTTTAAACGACTTGTTTCCGATGCAGATGCACTCACTCTATAATTAATAATTCTTTCAGCAAGTCATGAGTCAGTGAGAATTCCTGTATTTTTATGTCTGAATATATATTAGAGAAAAACAAGTTATTGCAACGTAAGTTTTTGCCAGTTTTCTGCAGCTCTACTTATAAATAAAACCAACATGAAGGCACAAGTAGCTCCGACTATAATCGGGCTACAGCTGTGTTTTCCATTATATCAAAGAGTTTAAATTAGGGATGCATGATATATCGGCGACCACATCGGTATCGGCCGATACTACGTTTTTTTCTGGTCCAATGAACAAATGTAGTCGATGTGAAAAACCGATGACTAAGCACCTTCATTCCTACATTTGATATTGTTGCTATTTCACAGATGTTTTTACTTAAATGGACTTGAACGTTAAATATGTTAAAATATGTTTAAATATGGTTTACTTTTGTTATGTAATCAAGTAGACTATGTGGTCTAGCTGGGTATGGGCTTCTTTTGAATAGTTTTCATGTTCTCACAGTGCTTACGTATACTCATTTGTCGGTGTGAACGAAAATTGAATATCGACATCGGTGACATCGGTTATCGGCGATATCAGAATTCTGACATCGGATATCGGTATCGGCCAGAAATTTTAACATCATGCATCACGAGTGTCAATCAGTTAATTGTATTTTTTTATATGACTTATTTCCGATGCAGATGCACAAAATCCTCCCATCGTTCTATAAATAATAATTCCTTCCAATCAGCAAGTCATGAGTCTGTGAGAACTCCTGTATTTGGTCACATCTACATATATATCGGAGAAAAACACGACATTGCAACGGAAGTTTTTGCTAATTTTCTGCAGCTCTTCTTGTGAATAAAACCATCATCAAGGCACGAGCAGCTCCGACTACAATCAGGATAGAGTTGTGTTTCCCGATATGTTTTGTTTAAATGGAGCCTATTCTTCTTGTCTTATAAACCTCAGGATCGCTCAGTCATTTATTCGTCTGTTTTAGGGATAAATCGCTCCACAAAGGCCTGTGGAGCAAAAAAACTTCTTCAAGTCAACAGGGGAAAAAAATAAAGTGAAGTTTCCTCCACTGAGAATCTATATGGCTCATTTTTCTGCTCTTCAGGGAAACAAAACACTCGTGACCTCCTCAGAGAACCTCATTCTAACTCCACAGGATGTTCTACGGCTGGCGAAGCTGCTTTCTAAGACAACCGGCCGGTCAGTGGGGGTCTGTTCTTTTAACACCGTTGTCTCAGACTTCACCAGATGCACTCAAGTTAACCCTGAAGTTAACCCTGAAGTTAACCCTGAGGCAACCTCGATAAGGGAGGCCTGGTGGAGAAGAAGAATCCCAGCCGGTGAAGCACAAACTGCAGCATTTCGTTCCTGAACTTCATCTGGACTCGGCCGCCCCGTGTGAAGACGCGACCCGAGCCTGACCCACATAGAGACCAGCGGGTGAGCGGAGATGACAGCCTTGTACTCTGGATGCTGATAACCGGCAGAAACTTCCTGGTGAGCGTATGAATGTTGGAGGAAATCGCCGGTATTAAGGGATTGAGGACAGAAGGGAGAAGAAAAAAGAAGTCGCTCCTGCTCATTCTGCAGCTCGTAGTTTAGAGACGCTGATTGAAATCGTAGCACAGAGTCTGTGAGTATTTGGCTCCTCTTTATCTACCTTGTGTTTCCGCTGCATGGATCTAAACAATCATGAAAACAATCCAGAATTAAAATAATCATGAGCTGCATCTGTAATCAGCAAAAACAGAGTCCAAGAGTCAGTTCAGTATTTAAAAAAAAGAAAATATTAATATTTAAGAAGTGGAAACTATTTGATTTTTCCTTTTTTTTTTGCCTTAAAAAATATTTAAATGACCAAATCATCACTTAGATCAATCAACTGATTCATAAATTGACTATTTTTTGATCAATTTTATTTTTAATTTAGTTGTATTCAGATAAACTGTACTGCTTTATGTGTATTTTATTTGTAGTTATATTAAATATTATTTCAAATAACTAGTATTCTACACTAGAACTGCAACGATTAAACTATTAAATTAAACACTAACCATTCCATATGTAACTAGTCAATATTTCTGAGTCACGTTTTAGGAAGAAAAAGTCTAATTTCTCTGATTCCAGCTTCTGGACTGTAAATCTTTTCTGGTTTCTGTCCTCCACTGTGAGTATTTTTCATCTCTTTTTTTTGACATTTTATGAACAATACAACTAACCAACAGTTCAAACACCCAAAACTAATAAAATCAGTGGAAAAAAAATAAAAAAATATTAACATTTTAAAGGTGTTCATTTTACATTTTTGCCTTTTTTGCCATAAGAAATACTTCAATAACTAATTAACCACTTAAACTGTTGTTGTTTTCTATCAGTTGGTTAATAAACTGATGATTTTTGCTAAATTTTACACGTTTTGTTATATATATATATATATATATATATATATCATATACACTCTACTGATTGGATGTAAAAGCACACAAATGTAAGTGTAGACTATTGTTAGTTTCATCTTTTTAAACGAGCATTTTATACTACAAATATAAACAAACAAACAAATATAAACCTTTCTGATTAATTAATTAATCTGTGAGTCACTTTTCAAAAAAAGAAAAAGTCAAAATGATGCCATTGCAGCTTCTTCTCTAAATGTCAATGTTTTCTGGTTAATTTACTCTGTGACTGTCTTTTTCTCTGTTTTTTTTTTTGTTTGTTTGTTTTTTGACATTTTAGAAACCAGACAACTACGTGACAGTTGACTGCTGCAGATCAGTTTCTACCAACTTATTTATGAAAAAAAGAAGAAAACATCTCAATTCTGTGATTTCAGCTTCTTGGATGTGAACATTTTCTGGTTTCTTTACGTTTCTGTGACAGTAATTTCACAGTTTTTAAAATATTTTACGAAGCAAACAACTATCTGATATCTCAAAACTAATCAGTTAGGCAGAAAAAAAAACAACAAATATTAATATTCAAGTCATGGAAACTGTTAACTTTTGCCTTTTTGTCATGAAATTAAATCATTAAATGACAAATTAACCACTGAAACTGCTGCAGATCAGGTTTCTAACAACCTACTTATGAACAAAAGAAGAAAACATCTAAATTCTGTGATTTTAGCTTCTTGGATGTGAACATTTTCTGGTTTCTTTACATTTCTGTGACAGTAATTTTACAATTTTTGGGCATTTTATGAATCAAATCACTGAAACTGCTGCAGATCATGTTTCTAATCAACCTATTAATGAACGCAAGAAGAAAAAGAAGAAAAAAAATTCTCTCATTGCTAATTGACTGTTTTCTGGTTTCTTTACTTTTCTGTGACAGTAATTTCACATTTTTGGATATTTTATGAACCAAACAACGATCTGACAGCTCAAAACTAATCAGCTTGGTGTAAAAAACAGCAAATATAAACATTCAAGTTATAGAAACTGTTAACTTTTGCCTTTTTTGTCCTAAAATTAAATCATTAAATGACCAATTAATCACTGAAAGTGCTGCAGATCATGTTTCTGTCAACGACTTAATGAACGCAAGAAGAAAAAGTGTGATTTCTTTAATTGCAGCTTTCTGAATGTGACTCTTTGCAGCTTTTTATTCCTCTCTGACAGTATTTTTCACCATTTTCTGACCCAAACAGCTAATAACCATTCGAGAAACTAAGCGACAGATTTCAGAAGCTGATTGAAATCTCGCGGATCGCCTCGGCGCCTGTGATTACTCCGCTCCTCCCGTTGCTGCTTTGTGTTTCAGCCTGAAGTGACAGACTAATGAGCT